AACATTCGTGTCAGTCAGCTGTTGGCTCTCACGCTGGCCAATAGTATCTTCCCGCCTATTCGTGGCAGCCAGACAGCTACTCTGTCTAGTAGAAAATGGCCGCAAACTACATGAAAACTGCCGTAGAAGAATGAAAAAATCGATTATTTCCACTATCGATGGGAGTTGGGAAAGGCAAAGTCGGTCTTCGTCTTCCCGCTAACTTGGAGCATGTGCGTGTAAATTTTGGTGCAAATCCGTCAAAAATTGCAGCCGTGCATTCGTTACATACACACACACACACACACACACACACACACACACACACACACACACACACACACACACACACATACACACACACACACACACACCCTGCCTTTTAGAGATCAACAATTAAAGATGCGGTTAAGGTCAGCTTTAAATTAAATTTTTTGACATTCGATATATAAAGAGAAATCTATGGATATTTTTATGGAGTTTTTCTTGCGTTTTTTTTTATGTCTGTCTCTGTGTTTTTAATTGGGCCACATTTTATCAAGCGGCATTTTACAGGCAAAAAAAGATATGTTGTATGATCCTTGATGCAAATAAACCGGAGAGGATCCCGAAATTAATGCACATTCAATTTTCATTTTCATTTTAATAAAATATTTTCGCTTTTAATCAGAACTGCTTTCTTTAAGTCAAAATTATGGCCAGAAGACTGATTATGATTAAAGCTGAAACAATTATTTCCGCCTTGTCACTTTTAAATTATGAATGATTGAATCAGTAAAACAATTATCAATCTGAAGTAGTTTCTTCATGCAACAAAACATGTCAGTAAAAATATTTTACATATATTCAGTTTATCATTTGTTCTATCTATCTATCTATCTATCTATGTTCATATTTATCTATCTATCTATATTAGTCTATTCATATCTATCTATCTATCTATCTATCTATCTATCTATCTATCTATCTATCCCGTTCTTTCCCTATCTATCTATCTATCTATCTATCTATCTATCTATTTATCTATCTGTTCATATTTATCTATCTATATTAGTCTATTCATATCTATCTATCTATCTATCTATCTATCTATCTATCTATCTATGTTCATATTTATCTATTTATATTAGTCTATTCATATCTATCTATCTATCTATCTATGTTCATATTTATCTATCTATCTATATTAGTCTATTCATATCTATCTATCTATCTATCTATCTATCTATCTATCTATCTATCTATCCTATTCGTGAGTATGAAAGGACTATCATAAAAATAAGCAGACATAATGTTTGTAATTTATTCAATCAGACATGCTTAAAAGAGAAATTTTTCTCTCTCTCTCTCTGTATATATATATATATATATATATATATATATATATATATATATATATATATATACGCACACACCCAAACACAATAACATTAACGTATCTTGAGTAGGCCCAGGGTCTCTAGGTTAATTTTCAATTTTAAATTTCTCTTTATTTTTTTATTTATTTATTTTAAAATGAACATTACCTACAATTCATTTCCAGCATTGTTTGTTCTATTTTATTTTATTTTTCGTCTATGAAACAGCATTCTTCCTATGTGTCATATATGTATTTTTAAAAAACATGGGATATACTTTGTGCCAGATAAGCTGGAAAACCAGCGAAACTTAAGTCGCACACATAAATATAATGTTTACACCTCATGAATAAATTTGATGATACGGTTGCTTATATCTTGTCGTTTGATTTATCTAACTCTACACACACACACACACACACACACACGCACACACACACACACACACACACATATATATATATATATATATATATATATATATATATATATATATATATACTTTAAAATTCCATGGTAATAATTTATTTCACGGGATCAATCAGATCCGTCTCATCAGACCAAATAATTTTACAACAATAGATGAATTTTAAATTTCGCCATATATATATATATATATATATATATATATATAATTGAAGATAAGAAGAAAAAAGAGAAAGAAAGCTAAGGAGTGAGTGCAAAGTGCAGGCAAAAAAAAAAAAAAAAAAACGACGAAAAGGACAAATAATCACGACGTTCTACACGTACGCACATCCACGCAGACGAGCACACACATGTACACACGCGCACACGCACTACGAAAAAAAATTGCACTGATGATAAGTGCATATAAAAAAAGATAAATGGCGAAGTATAAGCAGTTACTGATATTTCCTGATGAGTGAACGGACGGATCTGTCTACGAAACTCTGGAGTCGGGATGCTGAAGGTAACATCAATCTGCTAAGTGACAAACCTTTCACTTATATTAATTCTGTTCTATATTTATTGTTATTTAATAGTAAGTGTTGTTGCCGACACTGTAGTTTGAAACTAGATCGCCAGTGACTAACACGGCCGATTCCATTATTAAGCAGATCACGTGATCATGAAGGAAGTGAATAAGCAGGAAGTATGTTCAGTATCTAAATAATAATGATAGTGAGCATACAGTTAAAAATTACATGAATATTTTCTACAAAAACCAAATGCACATTAACAACAAAGACGAATCTTAGAAATATTATAAAGAAATACACTGCCCCAATCGACCCGAATAAAAAAAAATCAAATTAATTATCTACTATAAACAATTTAAGACAGATAACCTTATCCTCAAAAACAACAAACAACACACAAGCTAATTCAAAATTACAACGAACGAACATTATCTATGAGTTCAAATGCCCCTTAAGGAACTGTGTTCCTGATCAAACCGAATTCATAAATAATTACATTGGTCACACAACTACATTGGTTACACTACTACGCCTTACCTTACACCTATCCGACCAGAGCTCGATTAGAATCCATTTAAACACACACACAAACCTACCAGACCCCATTCAAAACATACTAGTAGAAAACACAAACATAATAACCTCATCCACTTGTAAAAAAAGAGATAGATAGATAGATAGATAGAGTTTAAATTTCTTTAACGAGTGTAATACCTTCACTATTTTCAGTTTCTTTCAAATTAAAACATTTATTCAGTTTAACTTCCTTCTGTGCAGATTGAACTAAACGTTTGCATAAACATAAATTTCATTAGCCGTATATTTGAAATCTGCACAAGGCTAGACATCAAGATTGTGGTTAAATTACATTTTCCAACTGTAAGATGAAAGCCACGTTGAAGCAAATCAAAGCAAGCAATATGCTTCGTTCTCGTCGCTTGATTTTTGCTACGTATGAATGTGTATTTACATTCGGTTGGAATTGATGATTTAGGGAGCGGGGGGAGGGGGGTTAATTCGAAATCCAAACAGGCAACAGGAGAAAGAAAAATAGACAAAGAAGCGGAGGAAAATGGAGTCGGGAGAGAAGGAAATAAACGGCGGAGAGAAGAAAAGAATAAGAAAGGACAGAGAAAGGAAGACGAAAAGAAAGAAGTAATGAAAGAGAAAGAAAAGGGGTAAGTAAGAAATAAAAAAAAGATAGATTAAACGTAGAAGGAAAGGAAAACAAAAGGAAGGAGAAAGGAACGGAGAAAGGAAAGGGTGAATGAAAGAGAATATAAAGGAGAAAGAAAGAGGAAAGAAAGGCGAAAGGAACGGAGAAAAGAAGGAAAAAAAGAAAGAAAGGGAGAAAGCAAGGTAAAAGAAAAAAAGGCAGGAATGTAGAATAGAAAAAAAAAGCAAGAAAGGATGTGAGAAAGAAGAATAGTGAAAGAGTGAGGGAGAGTAAGATAAAAAAAAATATTGACTTTATTTATTTTAAAGAATTTCACTCCAAGCAAGGCGGGAGAGCCACTAGCACTGAAGGGATTACAGAAAGTGAGAGCAAGAGTAAAGAGGCGTGTTTAAATAAAGGATAAAGAGAAAGACGGGGAACAAGATCAAGGCATCAGAAGATGTCGATTACATCAGCGAACCAAGTAAGAGGAAGGGAGTTTCACAGATGGGAAGTGCGAGATAAGAAGCTGTTGGAGTAAAAGAGACGGCTACATCTAACCGCTTCGACAGTAAAAGGGTGCACCGAGATGCCAACCTGGTAGTACGCTTAAATTCATCCAGTCTGGGGAACCAGCAAAAGTAGCTTGTCGGAGCAGTTGCCGTAAAAATACTTGTAGAAGAGACGCGGCAGTCGGTGAGAAAGTGAATGCAGACGATATGCCAGATCAGGATCCATCACATTGCATATCCGTAAAAATGGAAAATTAAAGAAGAAAAGTTTGGTTTGGTTTGTTTTGTTTTACGGTATATCAACCTCAGTGGGTTATTTAATGCCGACAAGATTTTTATTGCTGATAATATTTTTTATCTATCTCTCTCTCTCTCTCTCTCTCTCTCTCTCTCTATATATATATATATATATATATATATATATATATATATCAGTATATATTGATTTGCTTTGTTTTATTTTACGGCATATCAACCTCAATGGGCTATTTAATGCTGACAAGATTTTTATTGCTGATAATATTTTTTATCTATCTATCTATCTATCTATCTATCTATCTATCTATCTATCTATCTATATTGGTATATATTGATTTGCTTTGCTTTATTTTGCGGCATATCAACCTGAATGGGTTATTTAATGCTGACAAGATTTTTATTGCTGATAATGTTTTTTTCCCCAAAATTTAATGCTGCTAATATTTTTTTCTTTAAAAAATCATTACTTGTAATAATTTTTTACAAAAATGTATTGATGGTATTAAAATCTATTTTTACACTTTCATAGTTTCGGGTCAACTATTTTGCCCATAGCTGGGACCCTAACAGGTGGTACTACCCCGGGTCAGGGTGGACCTGGGAACACCAGCAATTAAGAGGTGGTTCCATGTTCCTCAAAACCTCCTGATCAGAGGTCTTGCTGTTTGATTTAGTTTATCATTTTACTCAGGACGTCTCATTGGGAAGGGGTGGGAGGCTTAACACTCTGCAGAGATGCAGTGGGCGAAAAAAGATAAGAAAAGGACGAAGAAAAACAAGATGGCCGAAAATGTGACGAAAAGAAAAGCATTTAGAAAACAGAAATGTAGAAATAAAGAGAAAGAATTAATGCAAATGGAAGAAAGAAAAACGGAAATCAAAAATATAAAAGAAAACTAGAGAGAGAGGGAGAAAGAGAGAGAGAGAAAGGGAGTGAGAAAAAGAGAGAAAGAGAAAGAAAGAGAGAAAGAGAAAGAGAGAGAGAGAAAGAGAAAGAGAGAGAAAGAGAGAGAGAAAGAGAGAGAGAGAGAGAGAAGGAAAAAGAAAACACGTGAGATCATGGCGCGGCATCAAAAGAAAAGGAAAAACAAAGCAAAGAAGACTGGCTAAATGAATTGAATTATATATACATATAAAAAGAAAAAATGGGAGATAAAAGCCATACATCAAGTCGAATGAAATGAAGAATGATAAAAGAGAAGAAATGGATGAAGGAAAGGCAAATGTAAGGAAAGAGAAGGAGAAGAAAATTAAAAGAAAGAAGAAAGTAATGTGCACAAAGGAAATCAGAGAAAGAAAAATGAACAAACAGAAATAAGACAAACAGAGAAATATCGGTAAACACCGAAAAATAAAAACTGAAAAAAAAAAAAAAAAAATTAATCGAGAAAAAGTTAAAAAAAAAAAGTAAAAAAGAAATGCCTTAAAAAGAAAATAAAAAAGTAATGGAAAAATGAAACGGAAAAAGTAAAACAAAAATGTATAATTTAAAAAAGAAATGCCTTAAAAAAATCATAGGAAAATGAAACGGACCCCCCCCCCAAAAAAAACAGTGAGGAATTATATATATATATATATATATATATATATATATATATAGAGAGAGAGAGAGAGAGAGAGAGAGAGAGAGAGGGGGAGAGGAGGCTGTAGGAAAAGCTAAGGAATGAAAAACAAAAAGAAAGGCACAAGATGAAATTCAAAGAAGGTTGAACAAAACTAGAAAGACGAACAGGCCATTGGAAGGTTATAGCAAACGATCATCTTTCTACATCCAATCAACAATTAGCATATATATAGAGTTGGCTATGAAGGCACAGATCCAAGGTGATAGCGGTCCCGAGAGGCTAGCAAGCTTCACTCAATCAATGGCTGTCAGGTGCATCTAGAAAACGATAACGATGATGATAATGATGATATTACTGATGAAAATGGCAAGAGAAAGAAGAGGGGGGAGAAGAAGAAGGGGGCGTAGAAGAAGAAGAGGAAGAAGAAGAGAATTAGAAGAGGAGGAAAAAGAAGCAAAAGAAGAAGATGAAGTGAAAGAAGTAGAAGAGGAAGTAGATGTGTAAGAAGAAGAAGGAGAAGTAGTAGAAGGTTAAGGAGAAGAAGAAGAGGAAGGAGAAGTAGTAGAAGGTTAAGGAGAAGAAGAAGAGGAAGGAGAAGTAGTAGAAGGTTAAGGAGAAGAAGAAGAGGAAGGAGAAGTAGTAGAAGGTTAAGGAGAAGAAGAAGAGAAAGGAGAAGTAGTAGAAGGTTAAGGAGAAGAAGAAGAAGAGGAAGGAGAAGTAGTAGAAGGTTAAGGAGAAGAAGAAGAGGAAGGAGAAGTAGTAGAAGGTTAAGGAGAAGAAGAAGAGGAAGTAGAAGAGAAGAAGAAACAGAAGTAGAAGAAGTTGAAGAGGAAGAAGAAGAAGCAGAAGAAAAAATAAGATGTAGTTGAAGAAGAGGAAGTAGGAGCAGAAGTAGAAGAAGATGAGGTGAAAGAAGAAGAAGAAGAAGAAGATGATGATGGAGTAGAAGAAGATGAAGAGGAAGTAGATGTAGAAGAAGCAGAAGAAGAAGAAGAAGAAGAAAAAGAAGGAGAAGAAGAAGAAGAAGTAGAAGAAAGAAAGAAGAGGGGGAAGTAGAAGAAGATGAAGTGAAATAAAAAGAAGAAGAAGAAAAAGAAGAAGAAGAAAGAAAGAAAGAAGAAGGGAAAGTAGAAGAAGAAGAAGAACAAAGTATATCACCGGGCCGTTTAAGAAAAAGAAGGAAGCTGTTTTAAATTAAATCGTGGAATACTTTACTTTTACTACTACTACTACTACTACTACTACTACTACTACTAATGCTATTAATAATAATTTAAGAATCCGGTGATGAAGGAAGGCGAACATTATTTGAAAGAAAATCAAGCACGTCTGTGCATATCATGAAACGAAGAAGACGTGATAGGAAATAGCTGGTCATATTTGATGGGTCGACTTTTCCTTTTTGCTATCTGCCTCGTTTTCTTTGGATGTTTCTGACACACACACCCTAATGGAGGAGAGATGAACAATGTCATGTTCGTTAAAAGAAAAATTAAGCTTGAGCCAAAAAAAGAAAAAGGAAGAAGAAGAATAAATGAAAATTAATTCTAAATTAAATGTGAAGGGCAAAAGAAGTTCCGAGTCGCAGGGAATTAACTGACAACATTTGAAAAGGTCACATTGTTAATGAAATGATATAAATAAAATGTAGATTGTAGAAAACAGACAGTGTGTGTCATGTATTTAATTCAGTGTGTTCGACGAGGCTGTACAAATACATAGATCAATATATTTGGCTTTCTTAAATAATGCTTCAATCTCTTCTTCAGTTGCTTTTCAACTGTTCTAACGTACCAATACCTACAGACGATAATGAGTATGTCCCAATTCACATAAATGCAGTAGTAAATACTGTATGTTGGTTTGCAGTTGGAGATTTGTCTCCAGTTGTGCTGGTGAAACTCTCTGCCTCCGGGCAGAGAGGAACCCCAGACGAGGGTATATCGAAGGGCAGAGTCTGGTCTCGCGAAACAGCTACCCGAACCTTTTTTATACGGTGTCTACGGTGAATTTTTGACTGAGCCTACGGGCTCGGATACCCAACATTATATTCGGCCTGGTGCCACATCTGACCGCATGGGGCGGTTGGTAGATATCATCCAGTCGGAGATTTGTCTCCAGCTGTGCTGTCAAACTATCTGCTTCCGCACAGAGTGAATCCCCAGACGAGGCTATGTCGAAGGGCAGAGTCTCGTCCCGGGAAACAACTACCCGGCCCTGTTTTATACGGTATCTACGGGGAATTTTTGGCTAAGCGTACGGTTTTGGATACCACATATTAGATTCGACCTTGTGTCACATCTGACCGCGTGGGGCATTTGGCAGATATCCTGCAGTCGGAGATCCGTCTCCACTTGTGCTGGTCAAACTTCCGGGCAGAGAGGATCCCTAAACAAGGCTATGTCGAAGGGCAGATTTACGTCTCGGGAAATAGCCACCCGACCCCGTTTTATATGTGGTCTACGGGGAAATTTTGGCAGTGCCTACGGGCACGGATACCACATATTAAATTCGGCCTTGTGCCACATCTGACCGCGTGGGGCGGTTGATAGTTATTCTGTAGTCGGTGATTCGTATCCAGTTGTGCTGTCAAACTCTCTGCCTCCGGACAGAGAGGATCCCCAGACGAGGTTATGTAGATGGGCAGAGTCTCGACTCGGGGAAACAGCTACCCCATACCTTTTTATACGGGGTCCACGGTGAAATTTTGGCCGAGCTCACGGGCTTGGATACCGCCCATTAAATTCGGCTTTGTGCCACATCTGACCGCGTGGAGCGATTAGTAAATATCCGGTAGTTGCAGATTCATTGTGGAATTCATTTGATCCCTTTCAAGCAGCTGACTACTTCTGCGCGCCGCTGGCGAATCTTATATGTGTTATTCTTGTCCTAAGTATTATCATTCATTACCAACCTTCGTGTGATTATTCAGTAACCTTCCCTAGGTTACAACACTATATATACAGGGTGTTTCACAATATTTGAAACAAAATGTGCACAAATCAAGGGCCATAAATGTTAGACTAATGGAAATTACATTTATTGAAAGGCAAAAGGATAACATTTCAGTATCTCCGGCCATTTAGTCTCAAACCTGAACCAAAAATATCAAGAGGAGTCTTAGGGTACATGCTGCAGATGTCTGCCTTTCAGTTGAAGGAACTGTTGAATGCGAAGTTCCTCTTGGGTAATCGCTTGAATCTTTTCAGGGATAGCTGCCTTCAATGTAGTAAAGGTTGCGAGAGTTGTAGTGTTGTCCTTGATGAACCCCTAGATAGGAAATCTGGGGTGGGGCCAGGTCGAGCGAGTGAGGTGCCCGTTCCACTTCAACTTTGCGGCTCATGAGACGTTCCCCCAACGCAGCCATGCCATGGTAACATTAGCAGTGTGAGTAGGAGCACCATCCTTCTGGAACCACTGTTCCTTGTCGTCATGGTTCTCATGCTCTCGAGCCCTTCCCATCTGAGAGAAAGCTGCTTTGTTTCAACAATTGTGAAACACCCTGTACTTGGCCAACATGGACGTTCGTGCTCGCAAAAAAAAAAAAAAAAAAATCAAAATTAGAGTGTTACGGTTTTTCCCTTGACACCGCTGTTATTTTAACTACCTTCACCCCTCGGCAATGTTTATTGTTTTAAAAAGCGATGATTAGAATTGTAATGAAATTTAAACATATGAATGTGAATTTATATATCTTGTTTTGTTTTTGAGTGCTGCGTTCAGTGTCATCTTTGGATCGCCAGGCTACTATATAAAACGGTATCAACGAAAAGGACCATTACTTCTTTTGTTATTCGTTTTACTAAGTGTGGCAACTTGGATTCTAAGAGGCAGTAGGAGGAGTGACGTCACAGGAACTCATGTCGCCCGTTAGCTCAGGACTCCCCGTGGGTGGTTTTAGCCGGTCATTAACCAGGAGACGTAGCGATGCTTAAGAATTCTTGACCCCGTCTGTTAAATCGCGCCGTTTTGTACTAACATTCATCACCCAGACAAAGGCGATCCATCTCTGCCAGAATATCCCGCCCACGAGGCACTCCGGCCAATCGCTGACCATTCTGGCTCTGGCCTTCGCATTCTGTAAAATTGAGAATTGGCAACAAAAAATAATAAACACTATTGATTTATTAGACTGCATATTTACAATATTTATTCATTATAGGCACGGTGGAGTAATGGAAAACGTCTCCGATTGAGGAACTGGAGAGTCGAGTTCGAATTCCAGTCAAAT